ATTCTTTTATACAAAAAGACAAAAGAACAAAGGTAGAGTAATCTCCAATCCCATGTATGATGACAAAATATGACATGGCTTTAAAAATATATTTAGTCTATAATATCATAAAATAAAATAAAAATTGTTGCCAAAGATGTCTATTTCAAAGGATTTGAAATGGCCATTACCAAATACTTAATGTCTATATTGTCATTGAAGAATACATTGTCATCTTCCTTGAGTTGGGAAATGACAACAATAAACTAAAAAGGAATAAGTTTTAATCTATTGAAAGTCTACCAACATGAAGAAAATCAACACTTCTTTTCTTATAATAAATAATAGATGATAACATCATACAAATAAAATAAATAAATAAATAAATAAATAAATAAAACATTATCTATTGGTCTACATAATTACGATTAACAACTACTAGAACATGAATAAATCAAAAATTCAACACGTATTAAAAGACCACCAATTGAACTCAATGATTATGTGTTCACCTTGTCCACAACTATAAAACAAAACAACTTGAAGATAGCCAACAATCATTTAGGTTATAACTCAAATACATAGGTGCAACTTTAAATCTATTCTTGTGAGTGTGGCAAATATAATTAGATGTGTCTATTTGCATAAAATTATCGTACGCCATTTAAGAGTCGCTTCAACCTCGATCCTCCACCTTTTGCTTACAGGCCTCAATTAAAGTAACAAAATCAAGTTATTTTTGCTACTGACCTTTGGCCATATAATCTCACATATCATAACATCAAAGAGACCAAAAAGCAATGAATCAATCAATTCATCTTTAAACAATTTGTCTTTGAACACTCTTTTGACAAAATCAATCCAAAACACAATGCAACACTGAAAAATCTCTAATAAAGCTTACAATATAAAACACAATAACTTTGAGATGGATATTTTTATAATAACATCATATAGTGACATAATTACAATTAAAAGTAGGTACTCAAAAGAGAAAAAAAAACATTGTGTGATATGCAAGGGATATTCCACATAATGACTGATATAATAGAGAGTGTTGGCAAAAAATTACACATCGCCTATTTCAATTTGACTAGGATTAAACCATGGTTATTTTCTACCTAGAATCACCCCTAGATCAACAAGATTGCACAAAGCTTGCAATTTTTTGCTTTTAGTAAGTTCATATTGGCTACTTCCAAAACAACTTTGTCAATACCAATCTATGTTGATGGAAATTGCCACTAAAATAATATAGATGTCTAATAACTAGAAGACATTTGTAAATACCTTGTTTAGTCTAATATCCACTCATGAAAAAATTGTAATTTCTATTTCATGCTTAACAACATTTCAAAGTGTATTTCTTACTGCAATAAATACATCTTAAGAGCAATCTATAAGTTGAAGGTGAAAGTATACACATCAATTTATACAGCCAATGAAGGCATACATATCAAAAGAATACTCTCCAATATCAATCCTAGAGAAGTTAAGTAAGCTAGAAACAAACTATCAATCTATACAAGAGCAATTTTTTCCACTACCTTCTCTTTACAATTCCAATGCTACTAATCCAATGTATCAACTATATTAGAAGTACATACATGTGTGTATCATTAGTACATGTACATACACACATCACCAAATTGTGCAAATAACATCAAAGGTACATTGGAATCAAACTAAGTGTGCTATGAGATAAGATAGTGAGTAGGTTGTGAGTGCTATGGGGATGAATCTAAGCATTGCAGGGACAAAGAACGAATAGCAAAGAGGCTTCAAGAAAGTAAGCTTGAGTTGCCCAAGAATATAAAAAATATATATATATATATAAATAAAATAAAATAAAATAAAATCCATAAAAACAATTGTACATTTATCAGATTGGAGATATTGTATCATAATTAAGGATATATTTAATATTATCAAAAAATTTAGAGGTATATTTGCTATTATTAAGAATATAAGAATATTCATAATATCATAATATATTTTAAGGATATATATATATATATATATATATATATATGATATGATATTTCTTCTTGTAAAAATTATTAAAGGTCTTATATTTATTTATATGATATAAATTGTTGATTCATTCAAGTATTAAGATATTCAACTCTTTTTGTTGTCTAACATTATAATAAATTTAAATTAAACAATAAAAATCTTTATAATTTTAAAATATCAAATTAAACTATTAACAAAATTATAATATATTGATTTTTCTAATAATAGCATAAAATCTTTTTTTTACCTTTTTTAACTATTAAGACTACCTATACTTAAACTAATATCTTTTATTATTTTTTATAAATTTAAATTTAAATTTTTTAATTAATTTGTTTCAAGAACACTATATAGAATTTTTATAACATCCATTGACTTCATCTTCTTGGAGCAACCTTTTAAATTGTTGAAATATAATAATCATATTGCCACTTCTTACTTAATTTCTTTTCTTTTAATTTTTTTCTATTTTTTCTTCTCTATTTATTTTCTAATACTTCTCTAATATCAAAAAATTCTTATTTTAAGGCCTATCTTATTCTTGATATCTTATTTCATTTATTATCAACTTTGATTTGATTAATTGGATTGACTCAACCATGGAATTAATGTGATTCATATAGGTTAATTTAATTAGCTAACTTGACTCAATTAACTCAAGTCCTTGCTTGATTTTTCTTCATTAAATTAAATTTCTAATTAACATTTATCCATCTGAAAAAATAAAAATAAAAATATTAATGATATGCTTAATATAGAATTTCTATTATATATAAATAAAGAGTTTTTAAATAAAATTATCAATTATAATATTTACTTCTTTTAATAAATTTAAAAACTTTGTAATTTTATAGAATTAAGTTAGTTAATTAAGTTAATTGTATTAAATTAAATCAATCTAACCAATCAAGTTGAAACTATTAGCTTATATATTTTCAAGAATAAATAAATTTAATAGACGTAAAACTTACAAATACTTCCAATAATAAAATTTGGTTAAAAAAAAGAATGTAATTTTGCATATGATCCAAAATTTTCAGATGTTAAGCTTTTAATTACTCTCATCTAGTAAATTGCAATGTGGTGTATAATCCAAGTATAGGGCAAATTGAGGTGGTATTAAAAAAAATTGTGATGGCACTAGCAACATCCTATAAAAAATTTACTAGTAGCAAGAGAGTTATCCAATTGTCTTAGTAACAGTTAATGATACATTACAAATATTGTTCTAATACTTGATTTCTATATATGTTTAATTTATTTGTATAATTTTGAAGCTAAATTTATCCAAGCATATAAACCTTTAATATGTTTTTTAAAAGAATTCATGTTTGTAGCTTTAAAAAAATTATATTTTTTTCTATTTTCTAATATTCAAACATATAATCTTTGCGAAAAACATATATATATATATTAAAAAATATCATATAAGTAATTTATTATATTCAGTAATTTTAAATTTTTAAATAATAAAAAGATGCAGATTTAAATGTATATTTAGAATATAATTTATTAAGATGTTTTCCATTTAAGAAGAATCATCAACAATAAAAAATAATTCCAAATGCCAAAAAAACTAAATAAAAAATAATAGCTAATATCTTAAATAAATAAAATTCAACCAGATGAATAGATTTGATTCTTTGTTTAAAATTATCTAGTTAAATTATCTCACCAAAGGCAATTAGCATTTCTTACTTAATTTTACAGTTTAACAAATCCAAAAATACTAACTACTTCATTCAATAGAAAGTATTCTTGTTTGGAATTATAAAAACTTCTTTTATATTAAAAGCTATGATCTACGAATTAATTCTTTAATAATATATATATATATATATATATATATATATACATATTATTTTCAACTAAATAATTTATAGTTTTGACTTAGGTTTTGAGAAGTACCCTACTCTTAAAAACCACCACATTTAGGGAAACAAGTCAATAGAGTTGGAAAGTTAAAATCTTACAATGGATTGAATTTTAAAAAAAATAAAAATAAAATAAAATAAAATGTTACACACTCATTATACACATAGGTGGTATGTGAAAGATAATTATAATATAACAATTTCTAAAACTTGGTGGAAGCATTAGTTAGGGGTAAACCAACTTACTACAAAACAAAAAAATGTTTTGCATAACTTGAAGTTGCTATATGATAGAAGTAAACTAATAAAATGTACATAAGTCTGTTTGTATTTGTATTTCAAGCTAATTCACAAATTATTGGTTTTAGTCCGCTTTATGAGAATCAAGAAACTAATCAATCATTAAAAATAGACATACTTTGTTTTTATGTATAAACAAAAAAAATCTTCATAAAAGTAATAAAAATAAATAAATAAATAAATAAATAAAATGGTACAGTTCATGCAAATATATGAATTACAGTTCATGAAGTACTTCAATAGCACACAACAGCACACAATATTCAGGTGAGCCACCCTCGTAACAGTATAACTGAACAACTCTGGTCACCCTTGGATCACCATCAATTTAAAGTAAACAGCTCTGCGATGGAGCTGGCAGGACCAAGCCATGAGCGTCACGACCAAGCCTGGACAGTAGTTGGAAACCATCAGAGAAAATAATTCTTGCGCTAGCAGCTGTTCTTCCTCAGGTGCGCGTTTCCGTCGACATCGACTTTTCACGAGCCGAGACGCCGAGGCCGTTTCAACGTCCACTTCACTACTTCCCACCACCTCCTGCATGATGTGCGATTTGCAGGTGTCGGGAAAACTCGCGTACTAAGTTCGGCCTTCAAATGGCATGTGGCCCACCTGACGATCTCGCGTCACAGCTTGATCTGAAGAAGGGCAACGTCACCGCCAACCTACGCCTTGTGGCTGGGCATGCCATCCCCCACTTCCCTATCCTCACCATCCAGCGTCAACTTGGATACAAGAGTTGCGTTCCTCCGAAGTAGGGCACATTTTCGTTTCGTTCATGCCGGCACGGCCCAGCATCGGAGGTTTCTGCTAGCTGAGTGTTCTTAGGATATGGGGTCACATGGTTCCCCCCACGTCGTCATGGTGCCTATTGACCCGGCGGGGCATTTCATCCCTTTCCTCCAGTTTGCCAGTAGCTTGGCAGCTGAAGGAATCACCGTCACCTTCGTAGCCTCCGACAGCCACTTCTCCAAGCTGATAGTTCGCGGCGATGGGAGCCCACATTCAAGCTATCATCTCAGGTTCTTGGAGCTCGGAGACGCCTCGAAGCACCTCACGTCCCACGAGCTTCTCGCGGAACGAAATACGCAAGCTGAAAGAGAGAAAACTGTCAAGCTGCTGATGGAGCTGATTACAGATATCAGTTCCCCAAACGCACAGCTCTTGAGGGGCGTGCCGACCGCTGCTTTCCCCGTCTGTGTGTTGCATGACATGATGTCGTGTTGGGCTCAAGAAGCAGCCGAGCGGCTACAGATCGAGAGGCACTTGCTGTACGTCTCGGCCGTAAGTGCTCTTTCGTGTACTTTCCAGGTATGATTTATTTGTCATTGTTGCGGTGAGGCCGCACACCTTCGTCCTTTGCTTTTCTTCACGCCATCCGAAGCATCCCAGCCTGAAAATCAACCCCATTGAAGTCCGGGTTCTTGTGTTGGCAGTCGGAGCGTCTCGCTCGAGAGGGTCGAGTTCCACTCACTCCAGAAACTCAGAGCGTTCCGATTGCAGACATTCCCGGCTTGCCACCACTCCAGCCTCGAGACCTTCCTTCACTGTTCCTAAGTGCCGAAACGTACAAATGGATGAAATACAACGACTACCGAATGGCCATGGCGGACGTGGTTTTGACCAACAGCTTCTACGGTCTCGAAAAGCGAGCCATCGTTGCACTGCAGGAAGAAGTGATTGGTACTGGTGCTGGCGTGAAGGTCAGCCTCCCTCGGCACCTGCGTCTTTTCATGTGGGATACGGTTAGGTAATCGAGAATAATCCATACTCGCATGGGTTCTCGGGCCCCACACAGAACCTGCGAATTGTGACAAGAAATCCTGACTTCTCCGCTTGTGACATGAAACTCTACGACACTTGTGCAGGCGAAACATGTGCTTGACATAGGTCCAATGCTACCGGAGGCCTACTTTACGGACGACGTGAACCTGCATTTGGATGAGGAAACGGACCCTTGCATTCTTTGGCTTAGCACGCAGAAGCCCTCTTCAGTTCTGTACGTCAGCTTCGGGAGCTTCACCACTCACGGAGCCCCGCAGCTGCTGGAGTTGGCATCGGAGCTTGAAGCCAGCGGCCAGCCTTTCTTGTGGATTTTACGGCTTCCCGATTCGTTGCCTGCTCACGAAGCCACCGAGGCATCGACCTCGCTGGCGGAATACCTGCCCCCAGGTGAATGTTTTGTACCGTCCGTTGCAAGCGTCGAGGTTTCAGTGCCGCTTGCAAGACTAGAATTGAAATCTGACGCTCGACATACGTCAGTTACACCCGATGCGCCGCCTGGCTCATCGGATCCTTCCTCTCCCTCGTATGCACACTGGTCTCCTCACCTGACAGTCACACCTATGCTTGGAATCAGGATTTGAAGAGAGGACGAAGAGGAGAGGTATGTGCTACTCCAGATGGGCGCCGCAGCTGCGAATACTGAGGCATGTTGCAACCGGGGTTTTCCCAACCCACTGCGGCTGGAACTCCACTCTGGAAAGCGTGTGTGCAGGCGTCCCAATGCTTACGTGGCCCTTATGGGCAGACCAAAACCTCAACAACAGGTTAGTCGCTGAGATCCGATGTCTCACGCATGTCCTACTTTCGGGTCACTCTTCGTAACCGCCAGGTCTGCGAGGATCCAGCAATCACAGTACGGGAACCCCCACCTGCAAACACATGCAGGACTGATGCTCTGACGCCGTGGCATGACCGCAGATTCTTGGTGGACACTGCGAAGCTAGCGATCGAGTTGGAGAGAGAACCCATCGACCCAGCGCAGAATCTTGGAGACGATGGGAAGATCAAACGGCGTGTCCGAAAGGAGGAGATAGAACGGAAGATTCGCAAATTAATGCAACAGGGGGGAGACCGGACCACTCGACACAACACGCAACAAATGACACAGAATGCACGGAGAGCAGTAGCGTCTGGTGGGTCTTCGGCCAGAAACTTCGAGCAATATGTCAGCCTCTTGCGATCTGCACCTCCCTCGGCCCATCCTACGCAGAAATCCTAATTAATGCTACCGATCGAGCACGGTCTCCGACACTCCCTCTTCCACTCATCGATTTGGTCACAAGTCTCACGCCAGCGAGTGTCGGAATCGAAGCACTCGTCCACGCGTGGACTTGTGCAAACCATAAATGGAAGCGAACTGGTCACTGTTGTTTACTCTCCTCACACACTCGTCCGTCAGCATGTCCTCGCATTGGTTCTTACAAAAACTTCATCGGCCCTGCGCGTCACCCAAACCAGCTCCGATTCGCACCGCTCACGATTGCAATTGGTATGGCATCTTAGATGCGCACAACCTTTGCGTTCAAGCCGATTACTGCCAAAACATGCGTCCTCGGAAGAAAATACCCTTCTGAAAGTCATAACGCAGGGGAACCCCACTCCCTCCTCAAGCTCGGTTTCGGCGTCTGCAAAGAGCCCATCTCCAAGCACACACCACCTACGGACTAGAAAGGGCAAAAGTCCAGTGGACACCAGGGAGTTGAATGGTGACCATTACTTCTGCTAATTCCCAAGTGATCCCACGCAAATAAGCCGTCGTACATGTCATTCAAGTAGCTTCACAACGTACTACTACTCCGTTGAAGAGAGAGAGCAGTGTGGGACTGAACACAATAATGGTTCCCTCGCACTTTCACAAAGCCTTCCACGCCCAATCGTGAGGCCTCCAGACAACACTCCCATTCGACGTGCCTGCATCGGTCCTCTGGAGCACCTGCAGGTCTGCCGTCGCTCATACCTGTGCCGGAACCGATTACCGAAACCCTTCCTAACGTTGTGCATACCACAAATCGCCCAACATCACAATCCTTCACAAACTCTAGGCACCAAGGTTCACTCCCACCGTGCTCCGCCGCGCGATGCAACCGCCTCGTTCGAACACGATCGCCATGCTTGCTAACCAGTTTCATCAAAGACGACAACCGTGACCCCCAATCGCCTTGTGGAACACCACCGGCGTGATTTTAATGCTTACAGCACCATACAATCGCCGCATCACAAACGCATCTATTTCACAAGTCAACATCCACGCATCCAACCATCCGTGCACTCCACATTCATGTGCATGCAGTCACACGCTTTCACATCCATATGCATCTCATCACGACGAACAAGCCGAATGTGACGGTTAACCAACTTCGACACCCTCCCGCTTCCGAACTAGAAGAGGGTGTCGGGGGCGTGGATATGGAGAAATGACAAAATTTTAAAAATAAAGAAAAAAAACGAGGAAACGAGGAAATGAAGAAAAATTCGGCGATAAAACGGAGGCCCACTACTGCCTCCATCTCGGTACGTTAACTTCATCTACAACCGGACATCAATTTGCACGCCCGCGCACCGTCACCGCTATGCGCGCCAGAAAGCCATCACAAGTAGCACATCTGCGCTTGGCCGTGATCAGACGTCTTCAGCCACAGATGACGCCCCAGCAGAGGGGCTGTGTGGACGGCCATGTACGCCGCATTCAACCTGCAGTCATCCGCTCCCACCGTCAGAAACTCTCCCACTCGCCTACAACAACTTTACACGATTCCACCACCGCGCAACACATCCACCACCACCATCCTAACCATGCTACCAAACCAGGCCACGACGGGCGGAAAAGACCACTCACTTGTCCACGTCGACCGGGGCCAGAGGGTCAAAGATCTCCTCCTCCTTCTGCTCCACGCTAGGGACGGCGCTTACAGCAACTGAAGCCTGTGCGTCACCCTAACGATAGTGATGTGCGCGCATTTGCGATACCCAGAACATCAAAACGAAGAAGGCCTCCATACACCTCCCTCATCTCCACTTCTCCCACCTTGGCCATTGCCCCATCCTCACCTCACTCTCACTCTCCCTCACCCCCCCTATCCTAACCACCACCCCTTCTCATCGCTACTTCTGCGCAAAACTAACAGCACGTACAAACATCCCACCTTCCATACCATGCCTTCGTAAACATGCGTTGTGTCCACTTTGCCACCATTACATCCACACAATTCAACCAGTACCCACACCAAACACGATGAAAAGGAACACCTCTCTTCATGTTACGCCTCGATTATCAATACAAGTGAAAAGAAGCGGACCGAGTCCCTCGTCTATCGACTAACCAGTTCAAGCTTTTCATTGCTCGGCAGAAAAGTCCATCCGGATGTTACACCTAACCCAACGCGTCTACCCATGGCCCCCAAGCCTACGTCAAAACATACAAAAAGCTTTCCACTACCCCTGCAGAACCAGCTTCGGCCTGGCATCTTATGACTTCAAAATGTTGCAACATCTATTGCCTTGCCATCAGTACATGTGAAGGTAAAAAGGCATCCCACGTTTCAACCACTATTCTGCACTGTCACACACGCCAAAAACGCTCCAGCAGGAAATCACTTCTCACAGTTGCTGAACTCTTCACTGTAATATGCGACCACAGCAGAGCCGGCCTCAGATCATCATTCACTAACACAATCAAACAACCATCAACAACACCGACCCCCCCCCCGTTCCTCTTTCATTTGCATCGCCCCCGTCCAACCACAAAGACTACCCCACTCCACCGCGCAACGTCACACTACGCGCCGTGCAATCTCTATCACTGCTCCTCACAGCCACCGTCACTTGTCCACCCCTACCAACACACGTAATCACAAACCGGGCCATCGACGCACCAGTCAACGACAGCCCACAACATACTCTAGCATACCTGCTGGGGATAGTTTCCGTAGCCAGGGTAGTTCCCGTATTGAGCGTATGCAGGGTCCTGCGGCGGCTGTGCTGGATATCCGTACTGATCGTACCCTTGCGCATATCCCTGGTAGTACCCTCCCGCGTTCCACTGGTTTGGGTCTTGGTGCTGGCCCCATCCAGGCTGCCCACACAAAAGAAACAACCAAATATCCTGTCAACGACAACCCTTGCCAAACACGCAAAATATCACGCAACTCTTCATCTCCAAGACCAACACACCATTCACTCCCCGTCACCTTCCACACAACCCTCTGACTCTCATGCAACCGCACATCCACTCCTCGTTTCCGACACAGCCTGCGACTTACATCAGCAGTCTGTTTGTTCCCAGGACTTCTCCCCCACGACAGCCGCACCGCTTGCGTCCCGATCACCGTCTGGTGAAGCCTTTGCAGCGCCTCCTCTGCACAAGCTCTGCACCCACACCTCCCACAAGCCCTTCAATCGTCACATTTTCATTGCACCCGCTCCGCCGCTGGATGCATTCCGGTCGCGGTTCACACATCATCAATATCTGCTCACATATACGCCGCGCCGACACCGCATCGGCTCACGACCTCCACCAACAACCACGACAAACACAATTTGTGCCGGACATGCCCAACCAACGGCTCCTGCAACTTCTCACGCACCTGTGTGTGAACTGGACGAAACCGCAGCCTTTCCCAGCCGGAATCTTCACGTACACCAGCTCCCCGAATTGCCCAAACACGTTTCTCAAATCTTCGTCGCCTACAGCTGGGTCAAGTCCTCCCACGAATATCTGTCCACACAAATCCACCGCATCACACCCCGTGCCTCACCTACCCCACCGCTCCACGCGTGCGACCGCATTCTATCCACAACACCGTTTCTCGAGGGAGGGGGCGGTGCGCCTGGCCAACCACATGTTCGCACGCACTTGCACCACACCACGCCACCTCCCAATCACCACATCCAACGAACCAACCCAACCAGAAACATCCCAACTCAATCACAAAACCACACCCCCCGTCACCGCAGAGAGTGCCTCATCCACTTACGGTTGTGTTGTTGGGATCGTTGTCCACGGGGAACGCCTGCGGGGATGGCTGGGCTCCGTACGCTGCATACGTGGCCACGGCCACCGGAGACACTGCATCCACTCCAAACCAACCACCACGCATCAGCCGTCAACGGGAACTTGCCAAGCCGCAAACCACGACTTCCCCTCCCACTCACCCCACTACAACCTCGAGGCGATGAAACATCGGCACAAGATTGCAAGCTCGATCAGAACCCTTCTATTTCCGTCCCTCGCTCCTCAACCACATCCACCGCCAAATCTCAAACCGGTGGACCCCCAAAAGAATGCACCCAAATCGATGGTCACGCATAACAAATTCATACGACGCACATCCACGCTTCCACCCGGCATGCAAGAACATCAACCCCCATATCTGACCCGTCATTCGATGCAACGCACCCTTCCAGCGCCCGACATGCGCCACCCTCACGCATACGAATGCAACACCCGGGATACCCTGAACCCGCTGAGCCTCCATGCGCAGCCCACCGACAAACCAGTACAACATGAGGCTGACCTACAAGGAGCCGCGAATGAACGGTAGCGCTCACAAACCATGGCTTGGCCACCTAGACCAGCACGACGTCACCGCCCTCTTCACATTGCAACCGTGTACTTCCATCCCCCGCACATCAATCACACACTCGCCACCGACCTCCAAAGCGATGACACCTACGAAGAACGTCCAAGCCCAGTATCTACGCCACACCTGATCATCAGACACTGAACCTTCGACGCCGCATGGTGACCCCGACCACGCACTTGACCCGATTCTCAACCTCGCCCATCCCTCTACACTCATGCATGGGCATAGCTTCGGTCCCGCCACGCCTCCCACTCGGATGACCAAGACTACGAATGCCACGTGAACCGTGACAACGCCGACGTGCCCCACAAACTGGACTACAACCACACCCGCGCAGCATCCGAAAACACCAAGGGACATGGCTACAACCAGGGAAAATGCTCATGTGCCACAAGGAAATCACTACAACGGAAAACCACGCAATGCAGTAGCAAAACGTCCAAACAGAGGACACTGACCTAAATTGCGGGCCACCCACTACTGAGGGTGCTTTCCTAGTCCCCGGAATCTTGTTTTAGGCACCCTTGGTAGCGAGTCCCTTGCCCTCCTGCTTCGACACACATTATTGACGCATGAGCTTACCCACCACACATCACCTCGACCCACACCACCTCCCTCACCCTCGCACCAACCACCCTCCCACCACTCCTCTCCTCACCACATTGCACACACAACTGCAACGACCAGCACTACGACTCATCACCCATGCTCGCTTACACGGCCGCCACACGAATCCACCCAAGCCCTCACTCCTGCTTCTGGCCTGCACCTACGCTCATCCACACGACGCACAAACTCATTCAACGACCGCGACTCCCACACCACCACCTTTCGGGTTCAGCTGGGCGGGCCCCAGAGACTTCTTCGGAGTCGCTGCGCTGATCCGCATCGGCCTGCTCGAGCAGTAGACCCCGTTCATCTCGCTCATCGCCCGGTTCCTCTCCATTTCGTCGCCGAATCGCACGAATCCGTACCCCTTCGACCGACCCGTGTTGGCGTCCGTCACCACCTTCGCGCCCTTCACAGATGGGTACCGCGTCCGAAACGTCTCCTGCAGCATGTAATCCGTCACGTCGGGAGCCAAATCCCCCACAAAGATCGAGTGCTCCGGTCCCGCCTCCGGACGCCTCTCCCCTATTCCAAACGAAGCCCAATTCAGCCGGAATGGCTGTTCCGTGTTCGGCATCTGAGTCCCGTTGTAAGCTTGCAGAATCTTCTCCGCTGCCGCGTGGGACACGAATTCCACGAACCCGTACCCCTCCGAGTACCCCGTCTGCTTGTTGCGTATGATCTTCACGGACTGCACCTGCAACAACCACTCCCACTTCTGTCAGCGCGTCCTCGCCCGATCCCACCGCGTTCTGCCCCGTCCGAGGCACGTCATATCACCCCATGCCCTGCAGCCACCCCTTCACTCCGACTCCCCGTCCACTCCCGCCTCTCCAATCGCTCCCCCTCCGCAAAACCGTCACATCATCATCATGCACAACTATCCATAACAAACACCTCAAACGCCCCACATATGCCTCGCTTCTGTCCACATAAAAACGAACTCGCCTCCCTCAGCAACCGCTACCCGACCGAAACAGCCACCGACCAACCGTTGCCACAGCCGACACCGGCGATCTCCAAGCGTTCGTCATCACTCGGACCAAGCCCAATGCTATCAACTCTCTGCTTGCTTCTGCCACCTCTCGAACAAACTGTTCGTCCGTGGGACGATTCAGGACGCACACACCGCGTGCATTGCAACGCTACTTCCCACGCTTTCACGACATGAGGCACGGCAGTAAGGGTACCATCAGAGCTTTGTGCTCCTCACTAACTCACGGCTCAAGTGCGCAGAAGTACACGACCTATGTAGTCCATCACGCCCACACCACCCACCCCCCCCCATTACCCTGCAACACCCAATCCAAGGAAACCCCACAATCCGAGATCGCCTCTGCGGGCCGAGGAAAGGTGTTCGAAAGGGCACCTCTCCAGTGTGTACAAAAGCTGTGTGCAGGTAATTCTCGTCCATCCAGTACTGCAGGTCTCCCACCCACAGCGTCTTCACCTCCTCGTGACTCTGAGGCTGCATCCCCGTTTGCTGCATCATCACCCATTGCTGCGGCTGCTGTTGCCCCTCTGGCTGCTGCCCGTGCGGGGGCCCAGCCCCTGCTGGTGACTGCATCATCCTCTCCGAGCCCTCGATTCCAAACACCTGGCACTTATACTTCCGCTTCCCAAGCTCCCTCTAGGACCTCCAGTTTCTGAACACAACACCAACGACGCACCGCACTCTTTGTTACTCATGATACTCCACGGCCCCGGACACGATCACCACGCATAACAGCTTCCCGCTTTCTCCCATACTCTCTCCGCAAAACCCTCATCCGCACCACACCCGCCACGCCCAGAACAGCAACAACATTGCACCACTCGCAGGACCGAGGGGCATAAGAAAATCCTCACTCGTTCCTGCATTCTCTCCTCCACACCGACCCCCTACAATTCGCTTCGCAACAATTCGTGTCCACGATGCGGAGCAGCTCCACAGCAGGTCTAACGAGTTTCCGCCCACAGCAGTTTTAACCGCACACCGCAGGTGCAAGCTACAGTGAAACCTAGAACTCCCAAGACTGCACGCGTCCCCCCGCACGTCGGAGCAAGGGCAAGGCTTACAAACACCCGCCACAGACCTAACGACGGATTCCCTACACCTCCTCGCCTGATCACCACTTCTCTGCACTCCACAAGCAAAAGATAAACCCACGGCCTCGCCACAACCCAACCGATCACTCACAACGTCCACCTCCTAAAACGTGACCCACCACATTGTCACTCGACGTCAACCTCGGCCGACTCTCTGGCTCCGAACTCCGAACCCCAACGCCACCCGAAACTGCCCGCCCAAAACCCTAAATCCGACATATCATCGCCCACGGCTTTCTCCGCATCGGAACCACCCACCACCAGACCAGAATCTATTAGGTCCTCCGACCGCCGCAACCACCAGCGCATCAATTCCCGCGCGCTGAACCATTGCACCCCTCCCCAGCCCAGGCACCAGCCACAACACCCGGTCCCAAGCCCAAACCCTCGCACCAGCGACAGTTCAGAGGGCACTCCCAAGCCGAGAGAAAAAAGAACTGCATGACCGAGGGCCGAAGAGAGAGAGAGAGAGAGAGAGAGAGAGAGGGAGAGAGAAAAGGAAACACAGGGGGAAAAGGTGAAGAACAACAGCATTCGTACCTGCAGCAGGTCAAGCTAGGCTCGCGAGCGGAGGGGGGGGCAGAAAGGAAACGCAGGGGCAATCGAAAGGAAGCAGTCGCAGGTGCGGGAGACAGAGAGGAGCCTCGACCAGAGTGAGTGAGAGAGTGCGCAAAGTGGGAGGAGCAGGTGAGCTTCACGACGGGCTCCCACTCTGTCCCCCCTCCGATGGCCCCGATGCGTGGCCTCGCTCTCATCGTGGCCGTCGCTCGGATCCCTCTGACGCTCCGCTGTGGCTCCCTCCCTCGCCTCGAATCCAAGCATGCGGCTCTCTGGACGGTCCCGATTACGCCGCGTGAGTCGCCGTCGTCGTATTTTAAACGTCTATCCGTCGGCTCGCTGACTGCTGAGTGTTGCTATCTAACGAGTCCCGCCCTTTTTTTTATCATTCATTCGTTCTTTCGTTCGGGGGTTGGATGAATCTGCAATCTCGTGCAAGCTTTGGCGGAGGAGTTGGCAGGACCCCTCCTCCCCCAAAGCCGACGGTGGGACGTCGGAGATTTCCATCGGTCTGAATTTGTAAACAGCAATAATCCTCTCCTCTCTCCTCCTCTCCATCCCAACCTTACTCGGAACCACCGCCACCACCAGACTATCCTCTGCTCCACCCACAATCTCATTTCTTAGCCTGTCTCATTGCTTTTGGTGTCATGCCATTCATGCCAATTGGGAAATCACCAACGCTGTAGACACTCATTCTTTGACATCAAATAGTGCTGAAGTTGGATAAATCCCTCCTCTGAGTGTTTGTTTGGGCGGTTCACTCCTTTCCCACCGCTCTGGATGTCGCAGATGCTCCGGGTATTCAATGTACACACACATACATGCAGGATTTGTTCAACTTCAGGCTGCACTCCGGGGTCAATTTCAATTACAAATCTGATACTTCCTGGTTGTGTATAGTGGGTTGGAATCACAAGATAACCAAAAGAAAAACTGGTGAAAATTATATTTTAGGTCGAGCATGGCAGGGGGAAAGAATTCTGCAGGAGGGGTTTGCAATGCATCTGTAAGTGGTAGTGAATCACACCAGCTTTTGATGATACAATGTTCGCAATGTTTGATTTGGTTGGCAAAGCCTTTGCCAAACACGATGCATAATCTGGAGCAGAGCACCGAAGGTTGAAGACAACAATGTCGAACAGCGTGGTGTTTCAAGTGCTTTTAACGGTGACACTTTCAAATGCGGAGGCAATATCAATGTTTTCAAAGCTGAAAATCAGAATTTTGCACCATTATGGAACTCCATATATTGTTCCGTTATAGGTTTATTTCTTTAAGTGTAAAGCATGCAATTTTTTATAGCTTGTACATTGACGTTATTTGCTGCTGATGTGCCATATTAATATCTTTGTTTTGTAATACATTAATCATACATCCATATTAATAAATTATAAGTCAATTTTCAAAAGTAATTTAGTTATTATAAGATTGTAAGAAAGCAAGTGAACTTATTGTACAGTTTATGTTTGATCATTGTAAGGTGCATGATTTTAAATATAGGTAATTTCTCCTATGTGATTTTTATAAATAATAGGAGGTTATTATTCTTCGTTTCTGTTTTTAGATTCCTTTACAAGTCTTTTGGTATTTTAGTTCGGTGTATGTTTTTCGTAAAGTGTGTATATCTGGTAAATAATTAAATTACATGTTAAATTTAGAAATTTCACCTTGTAACAATTTTCATTATAGCACAATCGATATTAGTCTTGATCACAATACACATAACATAGGTCATCAAGAAACAGATTCAAAAATGAATGACCCATACCTACATGAGATGTAATGGGAAGTAATTTGTTCTAAATATCATCTGAATTTAAAAATAACTGGAATGTCTAAAAATGAGCATGTTCAAGCTAAGTGCTTATAGCAGGACTTATCTGTCTAAGCTCTGGCTATGTTTTTATAAAGTATTATCGAAACAAATAATTTATCAGATTTGAGAGCTTGTGAAAGTACCACATGCCTTTTTTATACAAAACGTTAAACCAAGGCACAGAGAGCACATTGAGTACTCCTTTCGCTCTTCCTGAGACGGAAGCGGCCCACGTTTTTTCTACCAAAGCTCCAAAAACCTCAAAATCCTTCACGCAGATGATTTTCAAGACTACTCCAACTCCAAATTGCTACTTTTGGACTATATAACGTCGCCGAATTTGTGCAGGAGCTGCAGACAACTGGAAGATCTCAGCAGCACAGGTAATGAAAATTCAGAAAAACATTATACTAACCCTTTTTGGAAGACGAGCCATTTTTTACGAGTTCACTTCCCTTTCTTTCCTTTCAACAGAATTGATAGGGGGAATATCATTTTAGATTCTCTGTCGATTAACAGTGATACATGTCGGTGTCTTACAAACAAGGGAAGATCTGATCAGGACAATTGATGGGTATTGTGAGAATGAAGGCGGCCAAGTCTACACCACATTTCTCTTGCCAACGTGCATGCCTCGAATGGAAAGAGTCTAGGTTGTACGATTAATAGGTGACGTAGAGTGAGTTGCGAGCAAGTGCTGATGATGTACAACAATGCTACAGAAAGGACTTGCGAAAGGGTCCTTGAGCGCACCAAGGCTACTTGCGCAACGCACAGCGGGAGATTCAAATTCGAGAACATTACCCGATGATTTGGGATAGTACTGACGATGCGCATGATACGTGGTCTATTATTCAGCGTCGAGCACCCAAGTTTGTTTACCTGGGCGCCACACGAGTGTGGTTGCAAGAACATTGTAGCTTTCAACTTCCATGCTCGCCAACAGGATCCTACGCGACGCATATCTGGAGGGTTGTGCTCGTGGTAAGCGTGGCCTCCTTGCACTTTTTAACAGAACCAATCATACTGCTTAATAAGCTTCTGAAACGAGGTGCACACTCTTACGTCATGCAATAAGTTACGAGAGCCCACAATAGAAACGGATCCCAAGAGAGCAGCAATCTACACCTTGCGCATAGACATGAACACAGCAAGTGATTCAAGGAATGAAGTGAACAAAATAGTACTACAACAGCCCCTTCAGCTGGTCAGGACTCTCATCAAATCCCAAGGCATCATCATTACTCGGCGTACTTTGTTCTCTGTAAGCCGTAGCTACTGCTTTTCCTTTTTCCAGGATGTTCTCGGGCACTGTCGCTAGTAGTCTGACAACCACCACCAATGCTCATCAAGTTAAGCACGATACTATCATGCCAATTTATGTATTTTAAGTTAATCCTGCCCTTGACAGTGTCTCCTATTGGTGAGTGAGGTTTTAGAGAACAAAAAACAAAGAGAGCATGTACCAAACCACTACCAACTCATATACGTGGTCCTTATGGCAAGCAGGCATTACTAGCAAGTGGTAAGGTTTGAAAATCGTAAGGCGGGAACAAGAATGTGATACAGAGCACATGAATTTACGTACTTGTCCAAGGCAGTTACAGCAGTTGAGACACGTGACTTCATAACGTCAATAGATGCTGATCCACTTTCGCGTGATGCTCTGAAGAGCAATGAGTCCAGGTCCTCCAAGGCACTATTCAGCAATGAAAACCATAGCGTGTAAGGTACCAACTGATTATGTACCCAACATCATTTGAATGTAAATCAATAGATATTCAAGGAATCTGCAACTTGCGCAGGGACGTTCACTGCAAAAGTTTAATGTACCTCAGACACTGGTCAACCGCCTCGTTAGCAGTCTTGCCGTTACCAGCCTCAGCTGCATATTGTGCAACCTAACCCCTAAATTTGCATTAGGGTCCGCGGTTTGGAAAATGATCACATGATCACAGAGAGTTACATTATCTTCGTAAAACTACATCCTCCCAATTTATGTCAAATTATTACGTTCTTTCCATTGTACAAGGTCTCGAACAATCTTTGGAACATAATTTCCAAAACTGAGGTTGAGATGATGCTTAAGAGCCAGGATTATGATCAGAAAGAGGCAGGATGGAGGACAGGGACATACCGCACGAATATCATTGCGAAGAGAACCAGCAGGTCCGTTTCTCAACATAGACCGTGCATCAGCAAAATCGGGCTTATCTCCAACCAGTTTCTCATCTGCGAGTCAAAATGCATAAAACCCTATTAGATGGCATAAATTAACGGCACATTTCACCACATGGGTCGTACACCAATATCTCAAACGAGCAGTTATTATATGTACTGCTCCTAAGCATCGTTCTAAATAATACTGCATTGTTAATCAACAGAGGTGAAATTCGTTCACTACTGCAATTTGCAGGCATGGAGAGTACTCAGAATGAGCAACAGAATGAATGTGAAGCTGAGGAAGACATTAATTCACTCGGTTAGAAATCCATCATCCTAAAACACGTACCAACATCCTGAAACTGGATTTGTGCCAATAGAACTGTTGGAACATAGGTGTCTAGCGGATCAAGCTTCTTCCTGATGATATGTACGCAAACTTGTTAGAGGAATCAGAATTTAGCTTCACAGAAGGACAAATGCATCATGATTCCATCTCATCATTTGCTAAGGATGAAAATCCGGTTTCCTAATTCTGTCTCAGTTACGGTGGCTTCGCAGAGTTCGGCAGCTATGTATCCAGAGTTTCCTACGAGAAAAGATTCTTGGATTGAGCCGAATTGAGATGTAGATAAACAACCACGACCAACATTTCTGCGAAATTCAAGTTACTGTCGATACAAAGACAACATACTTGCAAGCGCCCACCTCTTGATGTACTTGCTCAAAACTCCTGCATCAGCTGCTGAAATCACAACAAAACAACTGCGCATTAGACCGAATTCCCACGCTCAAATCCGCTGAAAGAATAATCGCAAGATGCATACAACTATCACATTGCTTTCCAGTCAACCATCTCTTTCAAAATTCCCCGGAAGCTATTCGATTTAAGGTATGTATCACTTATTTGAATTGCCTGAACGAAAATGGTCTATATCCCTGGGAACGGACACCTGTAAACTTGACAAATTCAATAAACACCGCATTCCTAGAAGCGGAATGGCTCAACCTCGAAAACCATCCTAGAATAATCACGCAGAGGTCTCACCTTTCGAATCCTCCGCAACGAAAAACAGCATAGCAGACGCGGCAGCAGCCGCCAAAGCAGCACGCCGGCCAACCCCAGCTACGCCATTACCAATTCCTTGCGAGTCCGCAGCAGCGCCACCGTCCAGAGCGCATTCGTGACCCCTGAGACGCGCGCCCTGCAGCACACGGGCTTCCGAAGTGAGAGAGACTCGCGGCCCCTCGGGTGCAGAGGCAAGAGCAGCAGCAAATGGAAGCAGCGTCGCTAGGGAGTGCGCCATGGCCAGATGTTGAGCTGCAACCTGACTACGGAAGGGAAACAAAAAACTGAAACAAAAACGTCTCCAAGACACTGACCCACAATGAGTAAACGACGTTTGCAGTCGGGGAGCCACAAGATTGTGTTGCGGTGACGATCATCCTTCTGTCCCCAGGCCAATTTCCAGCGAGACAATTGCTGTCCCCACAATTCCACGGATGCGAATTCAAGCCTGCTTTGACACCAACGCACCCTCCGAACACACGTTGGTCATCCCATTGCAGCCCACGCCGTTTATTTCACTCCCCCTCGTCGTAATCGCCTTCTACTTCTTCTTCTTCATTACATTTTTTCATTATGGTGTTGCCATTTTCTCATCAGACACAACACATAACATTCGACATTTCATTTTTTGTTATAGAAATAAAATTTAAATACATTTGCCACAACATGATGTCTATGATTAATTGTCACGAGCCATTATTCTCCGCAACATCTTGTTCACGTTTCAATGAAATTATAAAATGTGGGTTGTTATAAAAATCAATTAGATTTTCTTTACTTAGTAATTAAAATAAAATAAAATCACATTTAAAATATATTTTAAAATATAAAATACCTTAATCTCTTATGCATAAGCATTTATATTTTGAAACTTTTTAAAATAGTTGGTTTAATATAAGCTTTTTACAATGGTTTTGCTTAGTTTGAAAAACAATGATTTATAAAATCATTAATATAATGGTTCTTTTTCAAGATAAAAATTATCGAAAAATCATTAAATTTTTTTCCATGATATCAGAAATTTAAAAGAATAAAGAATAAAAAACTAAAATCATATCAAAACTTATTATAAAGAAACAATGCTTTGTGAAGAGCTTTTGCAGATATTTTTTCTACTATTACATTGGTTATCCCAGAAAATCGTTACTGTGATCTATACACCTGATTTTTTCTATATATATATATATATATATTCTATGGACTTTTATTTATCTAAGTGAAATAGATATCTATGACATTTTAACTAAGCTAACAAAACATTATCTTCACAACATGAGAAACAATCTATTTTTATGTAGTTTCAAATATGATCAGTATTTAATATTTAATTAAATATACATGGACTATTTTATTTGCTAAAAATATCTTTCCAATGTATTTCAACTCATGTGTTTAATCTTGTTATTTATTATTTTCTTAAATAGTTATGTATTTAAAAACAAACATATTGTTCTAAGGTTAAGCAAGAGATATGATATATAAAAAGATGGATGCCATACATTATTGTTTGAATCATTGTATACATTATAACCTATTAAAATTTTAAAAAATTGCAAATTTTAATAAATTACTAAAGATAAGTGCTTAAGATGGTTTAATAATACATTATGATTGTTGTAGCATAATTTATGCATTCATTCTAATTAATTTGGAATACTAAAATCTTTGTAAAAGCTCCCACCAAACAACTTGTTTACATAGATGTGTGATTAACACACACACACACACACAGATATATATATATATATATATATATATATATATATTAGAATTAGAAATATTATAAATAAAACTATTAACAAAATTTTGAAATATGTTAAATAAATAAAATCAAATCATAAAATATTTATTTGAATAATTAAAGATAATAAATACAAATCATACAAATATTCATATAAATTTTTAAGTATAGTTTTTTTATACATTAATTTTTTTAAGAAGTTTTTTGAAGGTACTAATATTTATTTTTTACAATCCAAATTTTGGAACCTTTTTAAATTAAACATATTGTCTGAACTTTAGCACTTTGGATATATATTAGTCAACAATTTGGATTTCAACTATTTTTTTCCATAAGTTTGGTGAAGATTTAGTGACCACTTTTAAGTATTGCTTCATTTTACTATCTTGTGTAAAATGCCAATCTGCAAAATTAATTCAAAACCATTGCTTCTATCAAAGTCAACAAATAATAGTCAAACCTATTTGTTGATATATCTCAAGAAAGGTTTTGCATTAATTTAAAAAAATCCTAAATAAAATTAATATATATATATATATACATATATATATATATATCTATATATATATATATATATATATATATATTTTAATTTTATGAAAAATTCTAAACAAATCTTTAATATCATAAGAAAAATTTTAAAAATTCTATAAAAATTATAAAAAAAATCTAAAGAAATTTTAATAAAATCCTAGCTAAATTCCTAAGAAATCATATAATAATCTATATTAAACTTTAAGATCTTAAACTATTTATATACAAATCTTTATTAAATTTTAAACAAAAGTATAAAAAATTCTCTCAAATCTTATATAAACTTTATTGAAATCCTAAAAAAAATCTTGTCAAATTTTAAACAAAGTGTATATTTCAAGCATCAATTTTAATAAAATATAACTCTTAAATATATTATTATTATTCTTAAAAAAATTAATTAATTTTAGACATGTAAATTACAAATAAATTCATAAATATTATAATAGAATCAACTTATAAAAAAACATTGACTAAAAAACTACTAAAATATTTGATAACTTCTTTCTTTAATTTTGGTATTTAAATTCAATCAAAAAAATCTCTTTTGTCTACCAATAGTTTTTGCTTAAACTTGGTATTAACCTTGTATATCAAGTCATTTATTAGCTCAATTCATCTTATAGTTCTTTACAAAAAACCAATACCCTTACTAATCTTTGAACTACTAACTAGTCATATCATATTGCTGTTAGGGACAAAATCTTCATGAAAGTAAATAAATAAGTATAAAAAAATAGAAATAAAGAAGTATATATATTAAAAAGAAATTGTAATGGCTATTGCCAAAAGACAAGGAAATTAAAGACTCTTGAATCTAGACTAGGACCAAGAAAAGAATTGAAAAGAGTAAAGAAGCCTTTACTCTTGTCTCTATATATATTATCTAACTATGAACTATGTGGTAATGTTCTTTAAGACATCTAATATGTATTGACTTTGCAAGACACATTCTTTAGTTTACAAGGCAAGTTTTTTATAAGTGTGCCACATAATAAGTTTGTTCTACAAGCTACTAACATGTGTAGCACACAACTAACTAATTGACCACGTATTTAATCCAAAAAATCAATTATAAACACCTATAATATCAAAGCAGCATCTATGAAGCTCTTAAGAAGCTTTTGTAGAAGATTTTACCAAATTAATCTACTTTTACTTACTTTTATCTATTTCTATCTAATTATATAGATAATTATTGGTTTACATGTGTATGTCTATGACATTATCTTCCCTTCTAGGGACAAGTTCCACAAGGAGTGGTCATCAAATGTTGATGAAATCCATGATTTGGCAAATTATATTTGTTACATATTCTAATCTTTGTTCTCTTTGAAGATGGTTAATAAAGCCTCTCAATTATTGATAGTGTCCCATACCAAGGCGGAAAGACTATCCAGTTATTTGATTATTGTTGAGGCCTTCATAACTTCCTTCAAATGAAACATTTTGAACACTGTCAAGAGTTATTCTTACTTCTATTAAAATCACCAAATATTAGGAGTTCCTTCCAAGGTCATGATATCAAACGCATTGTATCTCATCATTTGTATGAAGAAGAATATGTTGTTATTGAGGATCTTCATTTTGATTGCAACATCTTAAAGGTTGTTACAATTACAATGTCTTGTCCAATAAGTAAAAAAATAAAATTTCTTGAGTTGAATCCACTTATTGTTGATTTTTCATCTCCTTAGTATCACAAATAGAAAGAAGCTACAACAAGAATAGAAAGTAGAATATTATCTTATTTAGATCTTGTTTCATTTATAGACAAGGTCTTTATCTTGATTTTGATAGATGTCATTGATGAAAAGCTTCTACCTTCTTCGCTGTATTTGTAAGATTCTTTATTACCTTCTATATATATTCTTTAATATCATATCCATGACAATAAATAAGATATTCTAACCTATTTCAGTGTTGCCTTGAATCTTAGACTTCTTCTACTTCAAATTCTTCATTATTCTCTACTTCTATAGGAAGAAGTGGCACTAGTCTTTTTCTTAATATGTTTACTATCTTTTATGGTTTAAGAAGAGATGCATAGAATACAAGATGGATTTTCATTGATTCCAGTGGGTGTAATTGATATCCAACTAGATTAATTTGTTAAAAATAGAAAAAAGTTCAAACCTATAATAGTCTAACTTGTTATAAGGACAAGTAATCTTGTTATTGCGACAAAGTAACCATACCTTGTCACTTACATTGAATTGTGGTTGTTCTTTCTGATAGACATCTACATTGATTTTTTTGTTGCTCTGGAGCTTTTTTTAATTGCACCTTCATTATTGCATGTAGCTCAGACAAACAATTTGCTAAATCTTCTGCCATAGGATTATCAACTATTGAAAAGTTAAAAGTATCAAGTAGTAGATGATAGCTATAATTGACAAAGAGAGGTGTTTGTTATATAGAAGAATGCATCCTATTATTATAAGTAAACTTTGCCAACGGCAAAAGAGTTTTTTAATTGTCTTATTAATAATTAATTGTATACCTTAAATACTGCTCTTAAACTTAATTTACAGGCTTTGTTTTTCTATCAATTTAAGGATAAAAGACCAAAGATAGCTTTATGTCCATCTTTGGAATCTTAAAAAAGATTCTTTAAAATCTTGATATAAATTGAGTCTTCCTATCTAATATAATATCCTTGGGCAATCCATAATAATGATAGATATTATCAAAAAAAGCTTGGCTATTTTCTCACCTATGATAGATTTTGTACATGATACAAAATGTACCATTTTTTTAAAACAATCTATTATTACAAATATAGAATCATACAAACTTGAAATTAGAAGATTCATAATAAAATCCATAGAAATAGAAGACCATGGTTGTTTTGGAATAGATAATGGTTGAAGAAGTTGATAAAATTGATGACAAAGGGTTTTTAATCTTGAGCAAACATCACATGGTTGAACAAAATCTTAGATAGCCTTTGACATTTGCAGCCACCAAAAATCTTTAGATATCAGCTCTAAAGTCTTTTTGTATTTAAAATATTAAACTATTGGAAAATCATGGCATTCTTGAAAAACATGTAAACGTTTTTTTTTTTTTTTGGAACATATAAGTGTCATTTGAAATATAATAGGTTATTTTTGAATTCAAATTTAGAAGCATCATGAGACTTAAAAGAAAGATTCTTGATATCATGAATAAGAAGATCAAAAGACATACTTGATTGAATTTATTTGACAAAGGTTGAATCAATAATTATTGTTAATT